GCAAAACTACTTATCTCTGCAGTTGATCGAGAGCGCTCAAAAGACACGTCCGTCCACCGTGCCAGTTCAAACTGAGCCGCAGATTCTGCCGCCGCCGGAATCTGCGCCCTTTCTCCGTAGCCGGGCGCGTGAGGTGATACTGGTTGGTTTTGCTGGGGCCGGAGAAAAACACATCGTGCGCCCGCCATCTCGGAGGCCATGAAAAAAAGCTGCATAGCTTGCACTGTCACCGCGAGAAGGCGTCACGGGCCTACTTGCTTGCTCGCTCGTGATCACGTTAAAAGGAGCCGTGTGATGGTGGTCGTTATATCTTTACTACTACCAGAAAAAAAAATTAAAAATGGAAGAGACCAGTGCAGAGACTGGTTGCACTAATTCAGAGGAGGTCGATGGTGATCCCGGGATACCGCAGCCTCCACCGTGCGCTGGACGAGCCAGCGTCAGTCTTTTCACGCGTGTCCCCGGAAGCAAACAAGAAAGTGCTCAAGGCTAGTTAACGCACTAACGGGCGTATTTTTTTTTTTTTGCCTCCTTGTCATCCCCCCTCTGCTTAGCTCGAAGAGCGCTTTCTAGTGCGAAATCAAAGCGAAAGTTCCTAATTGAAAAGTGCTACAATGTTTGATTTATCTGCCTCTAATTGACAAATTCTAAATGTTTTGAATTTTTGTGGCTATTGACGTGGGAGTTATGCGAATATAAAGAAACCACTCAATGATTGCTTGTTAAAGTTTGCCGGGATGCCTTTTGTGTTAAACACTACCTAGACCACTTACTCAGGTGCCTGCTGGGCCCGAGATGAAGCTGGGTTGACTGGGCTGGATAGACTAAATATTATACCGTAATTATATTGAGCCCAGCTCTTACTTTGAGTCATCAGCTGGTTTTGGGTGGGTAAACATGAACAATTTCTGGTCCCAGGTCTCGCGCAGGCCGAGAATATTGGCTCCTGTTGTACTCTAGTACTAGTACAATTTCGGGGCATTGCTGAAGCGACACTTCTTATACCTTTGTAAGCAGTATAATAATGGTTTCGGCACAATGGAACGAGAAATCGCGCATGTCTCATTTCAATTTTCAAGTTTCTGTAGCCCAGTATCTGTGAGTATGCCCTACCTCAATATACACTGCAATAATTAGTTAACATAGTTCACTCGGCTTGTTGACTCGGCGTACTAGGCGCAGCATAAATCACTGCTGGATTAACTGGGTAGTTCATTGATCATAGTTTACGTTTATCCCATTCTATTTCAAACTGGTTGGGCTGCTGTTCGCACGTCTTGAGTTGCTTTCTCCGCATAACGTCAGACTGTATTGGAACGTCACCGTAAAACCACTCCTACAATGTCGAAACCAAGTGTTGTTTCTGGTAGTCATATTACAAGTATGTTTAGAGCATAAGCAAACACCACAATGCACATTTTATGGTTCTTGGGACCAGTGTTTTAACCCAGAAGCTTTCCTTAGACGAGTCTTTCGTGTCTCATGTTGACGTAACGCTGATCATTTGGTTTTACAATTATGTGCTACAAAAAGAGGCTAAGTTCTAGTACTCACCACTGCTCCACTAAAAATGAAACAAGCCAAACACACCACATCTTGTGGTCGGCTTGGTTTGGACATCTTTTATTTTCTTTTACTGGCGACAAAAGCAAGCGTGCGCTTCTGTGACACAAAATAAAACGGCATTTATAAACAATGATGTTATTATCCGCGTAAGTAAATGTGCAACAGCTGCATACGTCACGAATTATGTCTCTGTAAGTGCGCTGTCCGCCTGTATGCAGTAGAAGGTGCAATTATAATAGGAATCTATCAGTGATTAATAAACAAAAATGGCTTGTTCTTACAACATATGATTTCATTGAACCTTATCTGATTATAGTAGTTTATCGATCTCGGTTATCCAGCGTGACCTCATACTGATTGAAACCTCCAGGCCAGTGCAAAAGAAAACGTTCTCACGTCACGTAACGCATGCACCTGTCTGCCAATACTTCTGTACAAGATATCACAGGTGAACTTGAGTCACGTGTCCTCTTAAACGATCGGCAGCAGTCCAGTATGATAATATATGGTAGGGCAGATAAACAACACGGACAAAAGAAGGCGCATTGTCTTTGTCTGCGTTACCATATATTATTATGCTACCATACCAACAAGCCCAAATCACCACCCTGGTTGGCGGCAGTCCAGGCTTGATTCTTAGACATTCAAGCAAGCGGGCAGTGTTACAAGGAACGAACATGTTAAGCTGAGGAGTTCGCCATCCCAGTTTCATAGTGCAATCGCGCAAAAAAGTATCACAAATGAATCGCTATTTATCAACCGACGACGATTGCACACGAATAAGTATTAAGCGCATGAATATGACTTGCCACTGGTTCAGAAGCAAGCCTGGACTGTGGCCGTTGACGATTTTATTAGGCAAGCTCTCACAAGCAGCACCCACTAATGTCCTTCAAAATAACACTTATCGAAATATCAGTACGTTGCGTTAAAGCATTGAAACCTAGGTATCGATTACAGAATAGAAAAAACGATCAAAATGCTTAATAATGCTTCAAGCAAGAAGTGGTGTAGATCCAGCAAGGGTTGCATGTCAGAGATGCACTGATGTGTGAAATTACTTAAAGCGAACATTCATTTTTCATTTTCGGTAGGCAACATTACAAATGGACTTCGCACTCTATAAGTGGAATCCGACATCACCTTTGAATTTTCGTTTCACCCTCCTTACAGACCACAAGTTTTGGTAGGCCATGGTGATTGCTGGTAAACTGTTTGAAAGGTTAACCTAAACAGTTGTAATATATATTGGATTTTAAATAGAGGTAAAATAGAAGTAACTCCAATTAGTTTTAAATAGAAGTAACTCCAGTTATTTTGACGTCATAAAAAAGACTGCTTAGGCTCATAAATAAGTGCACAAGTTTCCTTGTCTCTCAATCCACTAATATCGAACTCGTTATCAACCATGACTACAAATTATTATAAAAAATTATTGGCAATTCTACAAGCTCGTTTTGATTGACTGTTTATATTTTAGTGCATCTTGCATTGGTTTTCAGGTTCAACATTTTAATTCTAATATTTTTACTAATCTGACCCTGTTTCTGTATCTCAAATACTCGCAAATGAATTGGTTTCTGATGTCACAAACGTGCGATGGCTACTTTTAGAGTTAAATACATTTTCACATGCTCTTCTTGCATAAGTGGTACAATAAAAAAGACAGGAAAGCATTGACTGCTTCATACAAATCAAAGAACTTCATCTTATCAATACTTTCGCTCATAACACAATGCCAAATGTACTAAACTAAACTGACTTGTGCTCGAATCTTAAAATCTGGCAGCTGAAAAGAAAACAGAACTTCAATCAACCACTTTGCATAATAAATAGTTGCATATTTCCGCCTACATATAATTCATCTCGATATCTCAGATGCACGCAGCCTTAGCGTCATTCGCGACAGAAATTTATACTTGGAAAGTACTAATTGATGATGTTCCCAAACTATGCTAGCATGACGTGTTTTCATAACAGGTTTAGACATGTTTGATTACATCAAGATATTTTTTTCTGCTAGCATGACGTGTTTTCATAACAGGTTTAGACATGTTTGATTACATCAAGATATTTTTTTCTAGTGTACTAGGAATAAATGTTGTCAATGAACAAAGCGGTAATGTTATTGAGACTGTCTTTCTCCCCATTTATTGAGCACTGTATTTCGATGGAACGAACCGTTTGTAATTGGGCAAAACATGAAAACATGCTTGTCAGACTTCCTGTTGCACCTGAAAATGCACCTGAATCGCCAGATTTACCTCGTGCATGAAAATTCGGACATGAAAGGGTGAAGTCAAGTGACCACAGGTGTAATTTTTGCACCAATGCGTGGGCGTAAGCTGGTATATGTTGAATCATATCGAATAGAATATATCGAAATATATAGTTTCCTACTAGTCTTCGGTTGCGTATGAATTGACGACACCTAAGGTAACTTCAAACATTCGTGCATGCCTAGCATGAAACAATTGGAAAACATTTATAGTATCTATATTTACTTTGGACTACAACCAGCCAAATTGGCGATCTGCTGGTGATATAGCATGCGTAATTTTGCACAAAACTAAGTGGCAAATATTCCCAGAAACGTAAAAATTAAAAGAGCCTTCAGGTTGCAAATGATAACCTTTTGAAGTTGAATTCACTTTGAAGACTAATAGCCTGAATTATAATGTTTGCGTAAGCATAAGCTGTAAAGGTCAAATAACAACAGGTTGCGTGCATAGGAGAATCGATACGAAGCGGAAGGCGCTCTAATAGCGTGATGAGCAGCAACATTGAAGTGGATTATGCATACGGGCATTGAATTTTCGAAGCGTTCATACTGTGCAAGAAAGTGGGTGTCAAGCATGATTCCCAAGCATATTCTCTGTGACGTGGTAGGCGACATGATACTGTCGAGTGGCTGGTTATGAAATGCAAAAATAAATTGTGTGATTAAAATACGAGACAATAGACTACTTTTTTTCCCCTTTTTCAACGAAATGTTGGCATTTTATTCTTAATTAAAAGCCAGGTGTGACTGCAGTTTAAGACATATGTCTTATAACTAGCCAGCAAATTTATAACCTTAACAAAAAGCGTAGGTTGAAGATATGTATGCATGTACGTACGTACGTACGTACGTACGTATGTATGTATGTATGTATGTATGTATGTATGTATGTATGTATGTATGTATGTATGTATGTATGTATGTATGTATGTATGTATGTATGTATGTATGTATGTATGTATGTATGTATGTATGTATGTATGTATGTAAGTACGTATGTATGTATGTATGTATGTATGTATTTGTGTGTGTATGTGTGTATGTATGCATGAATATATGTGTATATACGTATGTACACAATCAGAATGCTGGTTGCACGAGTTGCAAGTTTTTAAACCCTTCATAAACCTGTGCACATTATTGGCCCAGATCATTTCAAGGATACGTCCTGCTATGCAGTGTTTATTCATCGCATCTTTTCAAAGAAGGAAGCTTTTAAACCTTGCACATTTATATGGTCAATCCACCTCGAGGTGATATACGCGTGTACTCCCCCCCCCCCAAAAAAACAAACAAACAAAAAAAGTTAGAATAGTTCTTATTATTGATGTTTGCAGGAGAATGTGGCAGCAAATCGTTATACCCTTTTGAGAAGGGGTCTCGAACTCAACTCAGCTAACGGGCAGTAGTCACAAAAATTTACTTCTGCAAGGGCCAGGATAACGACAAAGGTATTAGCAGAGGGGAGAGGGGGGGGGGGCAGAGAATAGATGGCTTAGTATGTCAGCTGAAATTGCCACTGGAAAGAAGACACTTCAGATATCTCGCATAACAGCCATTACATAAGGAGATTTGACGCCATTATTAAAACAACATAGCGATAGCTATCTCTAAAATGACTAAAATCTTCACTTCAGTTATTAAATGTAGAGTATTTTTTCCGTTCTTTGGTAAGAACATATGGTGAGCGCTTAGGGCACCTCACTAATAAAAAAACTTTGAGAAGATGTCATGACTGCATAGCTGACAAACACACCTTTTAAGAGAATACAAAAACTATGAGCCAAACATAGTAGTGTGTGGGCCACGGGCCGAAAGCGAGACGCTCGCAGTTCACGTGTTTGAGATTGCTGCTTCAGTTTCTCTGAAAGCGTTCGAGGAAAATAATGTTCAAGCATTAAACCTTTTTTAACGTGGAAGATGAGCAACTTTTCTGTAAAAGAAAATTTGCTCAATTGAGTTAGTGTTCATAAGCAAATATGCTGCCACCCGTGAGACACGATTTGCATATTTCAGTTGGCAGCGCTCACGGATTAACTGCACGTACTTCTGTCAACTGAGAGCTCTAGCAAATGCGTCACTACAGGTGACACTAAAACTCATTCTGCCTTCTTGCTTGCTGGCCACAAACGCCTTCTTATCTTACTGTTTGTTCTGAAGAGTACCGTAACGTTTGATATCTCATTATTCAATGTAAACTGCTATGAGCATAACACAGTTTTGGGCAGAAAGATCGACTGGTGTGTTGCTGTAACTTATGTTCCAAACTCTTGAACTGGATGCAGCTGTATCAGTGCTTTCTTTCATTGATACAATAAAACACATGAGGCATAGGTAGTCATAGAGCAGCCTGGATGATGTACACATCAATATGCATATTCAACCGAAAACTTGAAAAAAGAAAGAACAGTACACTTTTTGCGATTCAACATAAATGTAGAATTGGTAGAGCTGCACCAAGTGTGAGCACTTTGCTTTGTTATGTTCTTTACACTCGATGCAACGATGTGGTGTTACGTAATGCTACGTTTGATTTCTATCCCTGCCAGAGGTGATAGGAATAATCAGAGGTATGATACTGTCGTGTTAACAATATGATTATAGGACATATCGAAATGTCACATGCCAAATCACCACGTCACCCGTCTCACAGAGCTTTCTTTGAAACTAATCAAACTTTGTACTCGTGGATATGACATATATCTGCTGATGCATAAGCAGGAAGGCGTTACCAGACTCTTAGCGGTTGAATTAGACCACGAAGAATCAAGAAGGAACTAAAATATCAATACATCACGCTTTTTCACACATCACACCTACTTAGAAGCTATTTAGAGACGTCCCATTCAAAAATTACCGCCATTCACCACATCCTTCACTCGCAGAAGTTCTCAGCAGTGATATACAAATGCAGGCGAACAATACGTCAGCACATGGCACCCACCATCAAGAATTAGAATACACACATGCAGTTATCTCAACTTTGTCTTTGTCAACATGTGCTTTATCTAAGGCATTGCAAGATGACGCAAAAAAGCCGCCTTCCCACACAACCACACGCGCACAGCCCGCATTTTGCGCGCGTCGTGATTATCCAGATTGCTCCCATAACAATTTTTAGGCTTTTTTTCCCCTTGCTGCAAGACAATTTCTATAAGCAAAAGTGAAAATAATTTTTGTTTGTCAACTGTGGTAGGAGAAGCTTCATGGGTCAGAAAACGACTCCCTGACAGTAGTCATCAAGATGACATGAGAAAGACGAGTTGATGCACCTGACCTAGGCACAAACGGCATCGACATGAAGGCTGACAAAGAAGGCAACGTATCTATGGTGTTTTTTTTTTTTTTTCAATTCTCCCGTTGTTAGTGGCTACCCTGGTTTCTCTGCCTGCTTAGGGCCATTTGCACAGCCATATATACCACTGCCGATAAAATAATTGATATCTCCACCACAGCCTTTTTCGTAACCGGTTAAAGCAGCCCATGGCGATGCAAAACTCTAGGTCACGATTCACATACAAAGAAATGTGTAAGCGCAAGTCACTTATGGCAGCGACGATACGACGAGATGGTCACCTTGGGAATAGGTTCCCAGGAATATACTGTCACCTTCGAGTCCAGAACGCACCCACGAGTACGCACACACACATATGTGTCATACGCACACACACACACTGGACATTGGCGTATCACCCGGAAAATGCAGGCAGTCAGGGCAGATGTCACGCTGCACCGCTGCCCCTAAGGTTCGGTCAGCGAGCATCCTGTTCTGTGATGACGTATGCCTTGTTGTCGACACCGTTCACGCTGTAGGAGGCGTCACCCTGGGAGAATTTCTTGAGCTCGACCTTGACGTCCGTCTGCGCCCGCCCCGTGGCAGCCTTCCATTGGTCGTGAAGAGACAATTTGGATGGGCCCCAACGCTTCGATGGTCGGCAGGCGAAGCGCATTTTCTGCGAATAAATTGTGAAAATATGCAAACGACCTTTCGTCTTAAAAACCGATATACCACACGCATAAAAGAGAGCTAAGTTTTTTGGCGATTCATGTCGTTGCCTTGTTGCGCTTTGACCGGGAGTGTTGGACCTTGGGATGTCCTGGACCTTGTATACCGTCCTCAAGTTCAGAACTTTAACTTGACCACCACATGCCACATGTCGCTACTATTGGAAATCAATATACGTCTGACCGAGAGAGGGTAGTGCAGGTTACAAAGTTCAGGACACCATAAATAATTTTTCCTGTGCTATTTTTCAATTTTTTTCGCAAAAGTGTGCCATGACAGCGTGGCATCGATGGAGGTCACGCCGCAATGCAGCACCGCGGCCTTTTTAGTAGCTGTAAAGGAATCATCAGTGGGGAGGAGGTCAATTTCTGATCCGCCTGATAATTTCATACCTCACACGGGCTTCCATACACTAATGTCTGACCGGACATTCTTTACGACATTCTCCGTCATTCTGTTGCAAAACGAGTGCACATCTTTATTGTTTTCCCCTTGCTCATTCCTGTTGTCACGGAACCTACGAAACGAAGCTGTGGTCCCAGAGCACAACTTATATGTCTGGAAAAGTTTGCGGGAAAGAAATTACCATTGTGAACGAGTTGCACGAGACGCACAACTACTTGAGCCAACTATGTTGCCGATCCAGGCCTCGTCGTCTGATGACTAATGAAGCCGGCTTGGGTCGTAGAACAATGAGGGACACGAGCCATAATTTAAAATAAATAAAATAATGCCGCCCTTTGCTGACTTGCTTTTATATGCTTACAGCTCCCAAGTAACTTCAGTAGATGAATTCATTTCGCTATATTCATTCACATGACAATCTTGCTTCTTTAAAACGAGGTTGGAGGCCTGTCATGCTGATACTGTTAGTCTAAAGGTTTCTGCATGAAAGAGTGTATCGGTAACCATTATATATTTTTTTCAGAAATCGGGTAGCATGTTCAACGATGTGCCAAGATAGCGCTGTATTGCCGCCAGTGCTGACTTACTGTTTGTCATACGCATGCTCTCCTTGTTCCTTTGCGGAAGCGACCAATGCGAGTTGAAGTCGACATCACGTATTGTTACCTAAAAATTGCGAGGCCCCAAAAAGTAATGAATGTTCATAGCCTGATTTGTAATGCTTCTCGCACGCAATGTAATCATGCTGCAAGTTAGAAAAGATACAATCTTGAAGTGATGATAAAAGGTGTGAGCACTTAAAAAAAGTGGTCTCCGACAACTTTTTTTCACAAGTACAACAGCATCGCTTGTCTTGTGTATGCGCATGCTTGGTACCTTTCCCCCAACAAAAGTAGGGGAGGAAAAGAGATGCCCTCTCTCTCTCTTCCCAGAATCAGAATAAGTGTGTGAAACATGGCTACGATATGACACTGTTTCGATACTACAATTGTTTGCAACGAAAGCAAGGTTAATATTTAGGGCCATGGATGAGATAGACTATGATGTTCGCCCGTGGATCCAACCACTATTAACATTACCTGCATCAATGTGTTGCCCGGTGCCCTGTGGACAGCAACGATAGCCCAGAAAGGTATTTGCAACATGACGAACAGAGTGATGGTCCAGCCGATGCCGATGGCCCAGGGAGGATACTCGTAGGAGCCGTACTTCACAGGTTCATTCTGGTCCAACATCGAGAAAATGAAGATCACCTGCGCGACCGAAAATGAAAGTTCAGCGCACTACCTTTTACTGTTTTGTGGCCTGACGGCTGCAGAGCTGTGGCCCCAATACATTTAGTATTGATTGAAATATTCATCACAGGCGAAAACGAGCCCTATTTGTAAGCACGAGTCCGCGGATTCCTCAATATGTAATCATTAGTTTCTGTGGTTTACTTCTAATGACCATGGTTTTATTACGTGTACTCTTTTACATATATCTTCGTATGTTCGTCAATGTTTAAGTTTAGTGTTGTGAGCGCTCGTCAACAATTTTCGCGATTATTGTTCGTGAAGCATCCTATTTATATTTTCAATAGGAAACTTGTATATATTATAATAATGACTACTTTTTACTGATTTTCATATGTATGCTGTATTTGTTAGTGCCTTAAATTTATTTTGCGCTACTCATTTTTTAATTTTTCTTTTATTTTTCAATTTTGCAATACATCTAATGTGGGTTTTGTTTTGTTTTTTACATATAGCTCACTTTAGTTATTTTTACATTTCTTTTTTGCATCACGTAAGCGTACATGATTTGATTCATGTGTCTGTTTCTCTATGTAACTATCCTTTAGGAAATAATATGTGTTACCAACTAGATAATATAATAAATTATGAAGCGCACCATAGTGGAGTGCTCTGCAAACACCGATTATCGGTACCCGCGTTGACATCGCCCGAGTACGACAATGCGAGGACCTCTAGCACTTCAGGAACAAAGTATTATGTAGAAAACGCAGCACACGAAAGACAGAGATGACGACACCTGCGCGAACTTACGACTGTTTTATCCACACTCTAAATGGTTGTATATGGGACAGAGAGAATGCATAAACCAGATAGGAGAGACTCCGACATACGAAGATTTAACTAAAGAAAAGAGATAGCTACCTAATGTTGGCGTACACGTTTCAAAAGTACCTTTACCTTAGGTACCCAAATACTTTAGCCACCCACATTAGCGCTGGATTCTCTTCAGTACAATAAATTTTCTACTCTTTGCGAACACACATAATAGTCGGGATTTTAAATAATAATGACGGCAGTCTACTCCGCGATTAGCGATCGCGTCTTACCAGGAGCACAAGTGGCGATGTGACAGTCCATGTGACCTTCCAATACCATCCAAGACGCCTGTTCAGCATGAAGTAGACATCATCTGAGAACCTGGAGTATCCTGCGAAATAACAACATCCAAGTTTTTCACTCAAAATTAATCACACACTAGGTTGGAACTTATTTTTGCATTAATATCCACTTTGATGTTATACCAACGTCGTTCGCCAAACAATAGCGAAATGCCAGTGCCATCGCAGATACCGTTGGAGTCACTAAGAGCATTTGTGGTTGCTAGTCGGGTAACGTCATCGTCAACGCAATCAGCTAAAGCTTGACTCAGAAATAGGAACATCACGCGCTGCCAGGAGAAACAAAAGCTCGCTCGTTAAGCTATTTTGTGCATCCTCCACCGGCTATAAATGCGACAAGAAGTAAAAAAGATTAGGAATTAATCTTTATCCAACTCTCAGTATAGCGAAGGAAGATCAATATAAATATTGAAAAAAAAAAACGTACCAGCAAAAGGCATTGTTGATTCTGACACTGAGGCATAGTTTTCTGCCAGAATATTAAGTTTGCCTTAATGCCGGGGAGATGGGTGACAAAAATCTACACTTTAGCACAGTGCTTCTCAAAAGGGGGTCTGCATACCCTAGGGGGTCCGCGAAATCATTTCTAAGATTCGCAAAATTAACTCTGTTTAATTGCGACTGTGCCACGTAATGATAAACTGTCAGAAAACAAAGACACGTTTGTTCGATGCTTTTGGTAGCATCAAAAGCCACCTGTTTCACCCTCCAGTTTTGTCAATTTACCTACGTATGTCCCTCTCTCTGTTCTAAGGGGTCCCCCATCACTTCCACCAGTCCATAAGGGGTCCCCGACACATCCATGCCTGAGAACAGCTGCCCTAGCAAATGCGCCGCAAAACAAAATAGTAGATATTCAGACTTTCGCCAACTCCCAAATAAACAAAATATCGTCATGTTTGTGTCAACATTCATTGGGCATAAATAACGGAGTATCAAATAATAATTGACCCTATTATTCGCGTCAAACTACAAATGGTTAACACCAAGGAGATGAGGCAGAAAGTTTCAGTGGAAAGATAGGGAGGTTAGCCAGTTCTTAGACCGACTGGCTACCCTGTGCTGGGGAAAGGGGTGAGTGGAATAAAAGGTGTTAAAAAGAAATTTTGCGAAGAGAGAGAGAAATTACAAAAACATTGCGACAGAGGAAAGGCAACATCAAAGAGAGAGCTTTGCGCAGAGGTGGTGTCGTCACCAATGAAGTGATAACTGAGGGGCGACTATTGCTAGTTAACACCAGCTGGTGCAAGAGTTTTCGTGCTCACTTTTTAGAAGTGTGGTGGGCTAGTTGGAACCGTAGCTCATGATGATTGTTATAGCGCGAGCTAAGAACGACAACCAATGGACAAGAAGATGAGCACAAAGCAACAAGACGACGAGCGCTCGTCTTCTTGCCCTTTTGTTGTCATTCTCGACTCACGCTAGAGCAATCGTCCTCACTTTTTAGTTTCCCAGAAATGCAGCAAGAACCACTGAGGACGCTGCCCTTCAGCTGTCATGGCACCAGTACGTGCATAAAATTGCACATTGAAGCTTCCATAAAGCATCCAAGCTTCTAGTATATAGACAGACACTATGTAGAATTCACAAGATGGTACACGACTTTTCTTTGGTTTACATGGCATTTACCTTTCTCCTTGCAGAAATGTTGTTATTGCATAAGACCCACCTTTAGTGTTTTTGTTGTCATGTGTGGGTCGCGATAGATTTTTTGAAGAGATGCTGATGTATTTTGAAATATTGGGTTCGCTTGCGAGCATCTAAGTGATAATATATTGAAGAAAACATCAAAGGACTCTGACCAAGGTCAAAAATATTCACCGACGCTTGGGCTCCCCTATGAGAGCTGGGTTCACAGTTTTGACCAAAACTCCCGCGTGGCAGCCGAAACGCTGCTTGGTCAGAATCCTTGAATGTTTGGCACCAATGTCTCGTAGCGAAAAATTGACATTTCTCCAGACTCGTATCTTCAGTACAGGAAACGTTAAAAATCGTCGTAAGCGCAACTTACCGTAAATGTAAGCGAGTGAGATGACTTCCACAAGACCAATAAAAGTCAATGTCGTGCTGCCTCCGAATCTGTCCACTATCTCAAATATGTACTGGCCACCCTGTGAAGAATATTATATACAAGTCACATACATTGTTTAGCACACTGCAAAGAATGAAAATGAGTCAGTCTCCCTAGAATATAGTTGTTGACTATACAACTTGACTTTAACGTCATGAAAAATATATGGTGATTGTACGAACATTCGGAGAAACATGCACGTCCTTGCATGGCGTTCAACTGTCTTCGAAATTCTTAGACGAAGCTAAAATGGAAACTGTCAAGTGCAAGGCCGCCCCTTAACAAAAGAAGTAGGAAGCTACACTTCTTTATATTTGCCATGGAGTGTATATGAGGCCTGTTGACAACCTCTGTCGAAAAGTGCCGTTGCTATTTGAGGCTTTCTTGACAAACCGTGAAGCATAGAGATGACACATAAACAGCTTGGTGGAAGAAGCTATAGCTCTGACCCAAAGAGAGCGCTTGTAACATGATGCGTTCTTCCTTCAGGCAGTGTGGACAACTATTTATTTATTTATTAAAAACACTGCTAAAGGACTTCACGAAAAAGTATAGTGAGAGAGGTTGGCAAGGATAAGTTCTTCAAGTACAAAATGAGAGAAATCGAAACAAAGTGCAAGCATTTTATCATGGGAAATAAATCATGCAGGGCACCTTGGGAAGATATAGATGCATAATATATAAGACTATTCAGTGCAATGGTTATACTAATTCGCCCACGCTTAAATTAATAATATGCAAAACCGCTTCTCCCTAAAATGTTAGTTATTGCTCAGTATTAACTTGTTTGTTGTGCTTTGAAACACTGCGATGCGTTTGTCAGATCGGTAGTGCTATCATACATGTTCAAGAAGTGTTTGCAATCTGTAGTTAGCTATATGCAAGTAATTACACTACTACTACTTTTACTACTACTACTACTACTACTACTACTACTACTACTACTACTACTACTACTACTACTACTACTACTACTACTACTACTACTACTACTACTACTACATACAGATACAGAATCAATAGGATGCCGTATACGAGAAGCACTCGTCACCAAAATGAATATATGGGTGTTTGTTACTGCTGGAAGCTCCCATCATACACAGAATGAATAATCCGCTCGCTCACCCTGGTGACCATAGGTAAGCCAAGGAGGAAGCAAACGACGCCCATGGCCATGGTGAATTGCCACTTGTGTTTGCGTAGGTACGGTGCCTGGTCACACAAGCTTGTCACGAACGTCTCCAGGATGGCGAACTGTGCAACACATAGTCGGGGCTTTCAGCACAAGAATTACAGTCAATTTACCTAAACCGAAAAACGTAGTAACAAGCATGTTCACTGCCGATAGTCAAATAACGACCAAAGTGTTAGACAGAGGGGAGGAGTGACAGCAATTACAAGATGTTTTACCTCAATAAAAAAAGTGGCCGCTTAGAACTCCATATATATCGTCCACCAGAGAAGCCCAAACGCGAGCTAATGTTGCCAACACGAGCTATGATCAATCAAAGTATCTTCCCCTTTGCCTTTCGATTTCTCTGTCACTACATTTAGGAGACTAATGCTTAAGATTTCGCGTTTGGTGAAGTTTGCTTAAGGAATGTAAAGAACACCTAAACTAGCCTATGGGTAGTGAATCTGCGGCAGATATCATCTGTAGCTATACGTTCTGAAAAAAATGTGAAGTGAAAATATTATGACAATGGAGACTCTTCAAGGTAGCGCATGGTAGCATTACTACTTCATTGTTGTTTCTAAAGACGATTGTCTTTCTTGGAGTACTTCGACACAAAAATTTTGGTCTGTCGGTCTGTCTTTCTGTCTCTGTGTACATTTGTCTGTTTGTCTGCTGTAACGGTACCCCAATCTGCCTCATACGATACCCCAAACGGCCAACCCCATCGGCAGTCCCCATCAATATTGCTCAAGTTTCAGCATTTATACTTGTGCGATTGTCAATTAAAAAGCAATTACTGCACATATCTGAGGCACCACAACAATACGTTCATATTTTGTATGTGTGTTTATACTATAGAAGGCATACACGAGTAATTCTAAGGATCTTAGCGTTTACCACGCTGCGCTGAAAATGCAACGCGATGTTCAAAAATGAAAGTGTTTCCAGCGCTTTGCTAAGACGACACGGCGATGGCACCTGCCCGTCGTTTTGCGTTCTGCACCTTATCGCCTCCGAGACAGTCGTGCATGCCTTCCTTTGTTTTTGAAGAATACTTCCAGATAGCGGTCGTGTCTAACGTGCCTCGATGCGCTCGTTCACCTTCACTGCCCGGATCGAGACACTCTAACTCAGCGCCTACAGGGCGCCAATTTTTTCGCGCACAACGTCGCGCAAACGTTTCGTTCACTCTCTCCAGACGCCAGACTATCTTCTTCGACGACATTTTCAGTGAAACTTTCAGATACGGGGCCAATATTTCTTTTTTTGCTTTGCGCTCGTGGACCACCGTATACTACGGATCACCTGATCATGATCACACTCAAGAATATTTTCCAAGCCATACACAGAGTGATTGTAGATGTAGGCTCCAAAACAGTTTCCTTTACGGGGATTATCTTTCTGGATAGTAATATTTATAACGTGGCTTCCTTAAGTACCGCTTCTTGAAGGCTCCCAGCTCACTACTACCCTATCATGAACTGAACGTAGTCGGTGCTCGGACAACGTTAATGGGAGAATAGACATGCTAGGAAGAGTATTGTTGTAGTGAAGGAAAAGAGGCCTTTCAGACTACTGATTTCACAGCTTACGGTTACGGTCGCAGCTATGCTTTGCTATCACGTTAGAAACAAGAGAATATTAGCGTTCAAAAATAGGAGTGGAGATGAGTGTAGAAGACTAGAACAAGATATCAGGTACGGAGGTCACTCATAAGAGTATTGAGCATAAACTTTTCATGTTCCTTCTCTACCCTAACTGCCAGTCACCACTACAGCTTCTTTGAGAAAATTTATTAGTCCTTGCGATTGATACTGCACGAGGAGGCAGTTTCCCGGCGTCAGGAATAATCACTTACCTCCGAGTCAAGACCGAGGATGAAGAGCATGAGGAAGAAGAGAACGGACCAGAGTTGTGGTACCGGTAACCGCGTGAGGGCTTCGGGATAGGCAACGAACGCTAGGCCTGGACCTGCGAAGTGTGTTCCACACCATATCACGACTCATATATCTAGCTCAACGGGGCGAATAACGGAGTAATTCCTCTTCTATAGTTGGATTATTCATTTATTCTCCTAACTTGTTTACTGTAAAATATTCTGTCCAAAACGAGAACGCAGAGCGTGCCAATAGCGGGGTTGATTGGGGAAACTTCTACCAGGGTGACAAATTGATTGTCGTTTTCCTCTGCAAAATAATACTAAAGCGATCGATAAATCACATATATCGTGCGTAATAAAAACCAAGATAAAATCATACAGAAACTCGTAACAGAGTGTACTATCAAGCTAAGTGGTTCTTGCAAAACACCACATGCATAAACGCATTCTTGAACATGGGAATCCACAAAAACAAATAGGCAGCAATCTGAGCGTAAGGAGGAGTTTTGTTATCTGAGCTTGGAGACCAGACACAACTGTAGTTTCCAGAGGTGAAGCAACATGAGATGCGTTAATTGGGACAACCGTCGTGACGTTTACCAAGTGTGCATTGAAACATTGCAGCTTTTCTAGCTAAAATGACGCTACAGAAATGTATACGCACCTCCTTGCGCCACATCCTTCACGTCGACGTTCCCCAGATCATGGGCCATGGCTCCTAGGACCGAGAAGATGACCATTCCCGATATGATGCTAGTGAAGGTGTCAAGCACGCTCACAACCATGGCATCCCTGTGGAAAAGGTGAACATATATGTACGTTAAAAACCGATTATTAATTCAGCGACTTTAATTTCTATCTTCAATTCGTAAGTTATGGTGAGAACACGGTGTAAAAAAAGTTCAGTTATTCATATACATTAGCAGTCACCAATGAACCTCACCGACTCTCGTGTGAGGAAGCAAAGGTTTAGATGGTTCTGGAATACAATATAAAAGCTGTAACAATTGACGCTAGCTAACATTTCGACAATGAAGCAATACCGTAATTACATTCCTGAGTTCCCACACTGTATAAGTTGGCTTCTTACCTGCGTGATGTTGGGATACAATGGTGGGAAATTTGTTGCACGTACATGTAAAGGAGTTATCATCTATAAACACGATATCGACTATGTGCCCTCTCAGGCAGTTTATTCTTAAAAAGACCAATAGGGAAATTCCGAAAGGCTGGGATAGTAGCAGGAACAGAAGCTTCTCTTTCGTCATCCCCCCCCCCCTAATAAGAAACAGGCGCATTTGGTGAAATATTTAGGGGAGCTACAAATACAATATTCAGAGTGTTTAATGAGTCAATTAAACATAAATCGTTATAGTGGCTTGACAGACTTCTGGTGTGACTGCATCCTCCGAAAGTGGCCCGTCAGCTAGCCCTATCTACCTTATCACAATCAACTGCTTCAGCTCGTTACACACAGGACAACGCATCAGTGCACATTATATATCACACTTGGAGCTGCGCTGTACACGAGCATCATTTCTTTGCGAATGACAAAGAAACTTGGCAAAACAAAATCAAAGCAAGCCGCAGTGCCTTGGCACTGCGGCTTGCTTTGATTTGACCCGAAATGACGGAACTAATGTGGATTGACAATGGAGAATAAAGGGCCACTCAAAAGGCCCCATTACATATTTTAGTCAGACCGTTGAAGACGTTGTGTGTCCGATGAAGAGCACTATGTCACAAAAAATTTTTCAATTGGTTTCAATTGTCGTATACGGACGGACTGGAGCAGTCGCACGCACGTGCGCGTGCGCTGCTTCTCCGGTTTGGCCGTGACCAGCGCTTCATCTTTCGGCAAGCAATATCGAATGCACCTACAACCTGTTACTGAGCCCGCAAACCGTGACATTTCACTAGCTCGAGAGTGGTGCTATCATGATCCAGTACCCACACTGACGTTTACCTAGATGTGGCACAACAGATCAGCATAATTTTTACATTAACGTGTACGAGCATTACTTTCGCTTCCATGGCTGGCGTCTGCTTGATGCACTAACAGCGCATACACGAAAGCATGTGAAACACAGACACGATAGACCCGCATCTCGCTGCAAATCGCGAGCAAAGAAAAAAAATTTAAAAGACTCGTACACTCCCTTATTGCATCTCCTTGTTTATCTCAACTTTTATTCATCTATTCAAGCAACAAATTCCATAAACTAGACATATCGTGTTAAACAACTTTCGCCATGTCACTTGCTACTGTTGGTAACGTTAGAGCACAGTCATCTACGTAGAGGACTGACGTCACAGTGCTGCCGCGTACATGGGGCAATTCTTACGTGTACGTCATGCCCTCATGCTCTGGGCGCGCGCCCGCGAAAAGAAGGGAGATGAGCGTTCATCTTGAGATTTGACATATTTTCTTGGCGTATAGCGTTGCGAATTTCAGCAGATGTAATCGTGAATGCCCCATGTACGCGTTGCGCTTGTCAGCTCAAAATGGTCAAACCTGGATAGTGACCCTTTATTCTGCCAAAGTACGATTGGCTTTGCTGCAGTGGATAGGTAGAAAGGGGTTTGAAGGCTTAGAAGGTGGAGTAACACTTTTAGTTTTCTTAAGTGCTAGCACACATAAACAAACATGCTGAAATCATGGTGAATCTCTAGCAATGCTACGACGCTTTCGCAGATTCGCACTTCTCACAGACACGAGCCCATGGTTCCAGTAGCTGTGAAAGCCCTGTCATAATTTCTTTGTATTTAAACTTTTAGGTACCCTGATGTTGTCAAAAACGTAACACCTGAGAAAATATGTTTTGAATAGACGCACTTTAGGAGAGTGCTCGCGACGCAGCATTCACGTTACTGACCTGAAGACGTTGTTGGAGAACTTGTTGTAGCTGCTGTACATGATGAGACCACCCATGGACAGGCTGAGCGAGAAGAACATCTGTCCCGCTGCGGCCTGCCATACCTTGATGTCCAGCAGCCGGTCGAAGGAAGGAGTGATGAAGTAGAGCACGCCATTGATGGCACCAGGTTGGCACAAGCCCGTTATCATGAGAGTGATGAGGATGACGTAAGGAAAGGTGGCTGCGAAGTAGACCACCTTGCCTGAGGTCTTGATGCCCTTGACCAGGCAGGCGACCACGATGATCCAGCTGAGTAGAAGGCACAGTGCCAGGTCCCACTTGACACCACCGAGGTCTTCTAGCCCGTCACTTATCTCTAGGACATAACGCCTACGGAGGTAGAGCAGAGGAAGTAATTATAAGCTTCGTTATTTTCGTTTATATTGCTCTCATGAAAGAGCATCATCATCCTTTACTTCACTATCACCATTATGTAATTTGACTCATTTCTGTATTAACCACCCCTCCGGTACCGTGAACTGTATAACGCCCGCCCCGACTCCATCTACTATATTACTACCACTCTACGTTGACTACTTTTACTACTACTACTAGCCTACTACTAACCTACCGGTTACTGTGACTATTACTAACTACTGCTACTACCACTTCTGCTACTACTTGCTTACTACTAGCGTACTGGTACTACTCCTACTACTACTGTTACGGTGACTATTATTAGCTACTAATACTACTAATACCAGTACTACTACTGCTACCACTACTCAATGACGAGGGTGATGGCACAAAGTAAATAAGACAGCTTTGCTGTAAAAATGTTGACTGATTATCCCACGGCTGAAAAGCCCATATATTTTCGTCAGTGATAATTGATGGTTGACAAGTTTATTCGGCTGCTTGAAATCAAATCACGCGTTGATGGTTAGTTTGAATAGCTGTGTGATTAAGAAAGCTGGCTTAGTGGACAACTGCTGACGCAACTGCTGATGAGCATATGCATTCACTATTGTTGACAGAAAAGCCTATAGACAAAGAAAAGGACAGCGGAGAGATACTTGAAAAGAAATTACATCCGTTAGAGGTGGATAAACCGAATACATATGTACAGCGCTTGCGCATTCTTTGCAAAGGCTACATACGCGGGTATATTTTAAAAGTGAAGCTATGGAAGCTCGAAGTAAAACTTCTATGGTCTTCAGAAACCCTTTACCCCGTTGCCGAGCAATGACAAAGCCACCGATGTGCACCATCCGAGTTTAGCTTCACATTGGCACGCAGTATGCACTGAAGCCGCTCCAAAAAAGTGGCCACCCAGGGAGACAGTTCGCACCATCGCCAGATTTAGTTCGCACTGCGTTGCCGGAGCCAAGAACGAGCTACGAATGGCTCGCGCTTCTCTCATTGGTTTCACAACCAGGTTAGCATGTGAGTTTCTGGGGTTGGAGTTTCGCAATTTTTGCAAGGTCTGTAACAGGATGTGGTTCAACTCGGCTTTGTCTAAATCAACCAAGTAGGCCCCATTAGACCTCTAAGATTGATCAGCTTCAGCGTTACTTGCTTGTGCTAAACATTTTCATTGCCTTACCTTACGTTTCCGTAGAAAACTCCTACCCTGGCCTGTTGTCAACTTCCTTTCTTTCATTTTAACGTTGAATGGACTGCATTTATGTTTCGAGGCCGCAGGGCGTGTTCTTTCAGTGTATATTCGGAGTCGGCAATGTTCAGTGGTGGCGTACCAACTCTTTCGTGAGTGAGGATGGCGATTCCGCATATATATATATATATATATATATATATATATATATATATATATATATATATATATATATATATATATACATACAGGCAGGCATGGCGGTTGAGTGACCGTAGCGTCGCATATGGTCCAGTAGATCCTCCGTGAGCGGTCACAACGTGGTTTATTTCGACGTTTCGGCCTAGAGTCTGGCCTTCATCAGGAACCAAATATTCTACTTTTTCTTTTTTCTTTTTTCTTATTTTTTCGCTTTTTTTCCTCTTTCTCTCTCTCACCCTATGATTCAAGATTGTATAAAGTTCAGCACCAACAAACTGTAGCCTCATTGCTGATGAAGGCCAGACTCTAGGCCGAAACGTCGAAATAAACCACGTTGTGACCGCTCACGGAGGATCTACTTGACTACCTGCAACACTACGGCCACTCAACCACCATGCCTGTCTACAGAGAGAGAGATATATATAAAGCGCGAGAAAGAAGTGAGCACGTCATCGACTGTTGTCCTTTCATGTAATTCATCATACACAGATTACAGAGGATCAGTTATATGGTTCTTAAGAGTACTATAAAAAAGAGAGATGCTTCAGTACCATGCACTAGGACAAAACAGATATGCGTGTTATGCGTGTAATAGTATTATCCGCGATGCTTTTGATCCATTACCTCACACCTTTCAGCATAACTATAACTGTTTGCATCACAACCTTCAAAGGAGTATATATTCGTATAATTCAGTGCAATTTTTGTTATGACTAAAACCTGCTCAATAAGAATGAGTTTTCGAATGCAAAGCGAACCTTATGAGAGGAAAGGTACGTGAATGCAATGAATGCTACAGCAACAAATTAATACGTCAGATGAAAAAAAAGGCAAGATGCTCGAAACTTGGAGTGTGAAGGCCAAGAGGAAAACACGCACAAAATCCGCATACACAGGGCAAGCGCAGACCAACAGTCACAGCTCGACACAAAAGGAGCTGCTGAAACAAAAAATCACAGCATATGCTGAAGTGAATGATGATAATTAGAGCGAAGCTTCGAAGGGTTTGATTTGCAAACCGTGAACCATTCACTGGCCGCGTCCGTGCGTCTCTCTGTCTGTGTGTTTATCTGCCCATCTGACCCTCCCTCCGTTCGTCCGCTGGCTACTACATACAGGACAGGCACGACCCACACCTTAAATAGGCCCTGCTACACTTTTCGACGATTGTCTGAAAATGCTGCCGATCGGTAGTAGAGGCTCCCGACAACACACGAGCTAAATGCTATAGTGCAGCGTGCGGCCTGGAATTCACAACAAATTATAAATTTCAGCTAAAATTGCTTTCTCTTCCTTCGACAAGTGACAAATATGCTTAAAAGTTACACGTAGATTACCCATCTACAGCCATTGGCTGATTTGAACTTGGCACGCTCGGTTGTTACAGAGATCGCCGTGAGAAACCGCCACTTGTTCACGCGTGCGCGCACGATCCCACTGAGAAAGCCGCGTAAGCGAAGAAAAAAAAAGAAAATGTGATCAAGGTTTTGAGGTGCGTGTGAAGTTTTTGTTTGCCCCCCCCCCCCCCCCCCCCATCCCCTCCTGCTTAGCTTCCAGCGCTTTCGTCGGGACGAAAGAAGAGAGAATGCGAATGCGATTGGAGCGTGTGACAAATCTTTGTAACTACGCTCGTACTGGACAAATTACTGAAAAACTGCGCCACTGAATTTGGTAGGCAATATGGTTTTCCAGTAAATAACTCCATGGTTACTCAGAAAAAGTCTTTCAGAGCCCCTTTAAGGATCTTCCCCTCTAAAATAAAGACTTACCAGACGAACGCTTGAATATAGAGAGCACGAGTGCGAACAACTACCACAGTTCTTTTTTCATCATGCGCGAGCGGCGTGCTTCTTTCATAACTGCGGCCGCGGCAGTGAGTTAAGTGACCTTCATGCTCTCTCGAATCACGAGATAAGTGCGCGCGCACGTCAGACCATGCTTCGTGGAGGCGCGCGTGCACAAAAACGCGAGGGGCGTCAACCTTTGGAGCGACCCAACGCCGACTAAATTTCAAGGCCGAAAGGCTGCCGCAACGACGTCCGAGTGCGGGGGCCCAGTTACGCCGCAAACGCAGCGGAAAGCCTGTGTTTCGCTCACGTTTTAGGAGAACCAACGCTCCCGCTCTCGCAGCTGCTGCGGCTTGATTGGACCGAATAAAAGATGTGGAAAAAAAGTGTTACTGAGCATGCTCAGTTGGGCAACTGGGCTCCCAACCTCTGACCTCACTGCGACAGCCTTTCGGCCTTGAAATTTAGTCGGCGTTGAGCGACCTCATCGCCCACCCTTCGCCCCATCTCGCTACTGATGACAAAATTGTGCTGAAGCTGCAAAGCTCTGATGTGTGTCAAACAGTATATTGTGTGTGATAAATAGCTTGGCGTTAGCCAACTAGAAGACGTACGCTGCGTGGCTTAGCGGCTTCACGCCACGTGTGCGGAAGGAGAGGTCGTACGAGTGACATCCGGTGACAGAACTTTCAAATGCGGAGCATTTCTTAGTCACACGATGTCACGCATCGTGCGTCGGCGGTGATGTCCACAGCCCCACTGCGCATGCTCGTTCCTCACGTAAAATGCCGCATGCTTAAGTCTCGTGCCAACTGTTTGCTTCCCTCCCTCCCTCGTCTCGGAAAGCCGACGAGGGCAGAGTCTGCTAGTAAAGATGGACTGCTCGAGCTGAAGAACCGTTCACTGGTTACCCAGTACATGTAGCAACTAGGTCGCACGTCAGCGTCTCGCATCCCTTTGAAGGAAACGCTTCTATTTAATTAAAAACTGATAATAATAACGAGAAAGAAACAATTAAGCATTCCCAAACCATCGCTCCCCTCCCAAGGCCAACGAGGGCAGCGTCTGCTAGTAAAAACAGACTGCTCAAGCTGCACAACCGTTCACTGGCCAACCCGTACATGTAAGAACTGAATCGCACATCAGCGTACCACCACTCGAAGAAGTCAACGCTTCTGCTTCATTCAATAAATAAGACTATTAAATACGAAATAACAAATAAACATTCCCAAACCATACTCTATTACGTAACATTCCCGCGATACCCCACCAACCTCTTCGGCACATTCAATCGATTTTTCCGCGTGGGAAGATGCGGGCGAAAGTTTTTAAATACGAAGTATTTCTTAGCGAACTTCGGCGACATTGAGCGTATCTATCTATCTATCTATCTATCTATCTATCTATCTATCTATCTATCTATCTATCTATCTATCTATCTATCTATCTATCTATCTATCTATCTATCTATCTATCTATCTATCTATCTATCTATCTATCTATCTATCTATCTATCTATCTATCTATGCCCCGCCGCGGTGGTCTAGTGGCTACGGTACTCGGCTGCTGACCCGCAGGGCGCGGGTTCGAATCCCGGCTGCGGCGGCTGCATTTCCGATGGAGGCGGAAATGTTGTAGGCCCGTGTGCTCAGATTTGGGTGCACGTTAAAGAACCCCAGGTGGTCTAAATTTCCGGAGCCCTCCACTACGGCGTCTCTCATAATCATGTAGTGGTTTTGGGACGTTAAACCCCACATATCAATCTATCTATCTATCTATCTATCTAT